ATTCAAGATAGCATTCATCATGGGCATCCCCTCAATCCAATCCCCATCATCATTCATAATTCTAACAATAGTATTCTTTTTCTTTCGATGAGAAGCATACCTGTGATAGAATTTTGTGTTCGCATCCGCACCCTTAAGCCAGTGCTGTTTGGCCCTCTGCCTCCAATAAGCATCCTCCTGCAGCTCAATACTAGTCAGGCGCTTGTCTAATTCTTGAAACTCAGCTAAAGATACTGAATCCGTACATCCCCTGAAACGCAACTGTTCCCTCCGTAGGTTCATTATTTGCTCTCCGAATTTATGGAACCGGTCTCCACCCCAACGTGTTAACCGCTCACCACAAAACGAGATACATCCTTGCAAACCCTTATCTCTTCCCTCACCCCAGGCTCTTTCCACCACACCTCTACAACCGTCATCATGCAGCCAAGCCATCTCAAAACGGAACCCTCTTCTCAAACCACCCCTCCTTTCCCGAAGATTCAGAATCCCAAGGAAAAGAGCAGAATGATCCGACTTTCGGGTCAATATGTTTTGCACACTTGCATCGGCCACCAGCTCCCTCCAACTCTGAGTAGCCAAAAGTTTGTCCAATCGTTCCTCTATCCAGTTTGGTGTTCCCTTCCCCTTTTCCCAAGTAAACGGATACCCTGACATAGGCAATTGCATTAAGCCACAATGCTCAATAGTTTCCCCAAAACCCCGTAAAAGGCTGTCTGGATGGGGATTTCCTCCCCGTTTCTCATACTGATATAACAAGTCATTAAAATCTCCAATCATTACCCATGGAAGGTTCGATCTGGTTGCCAATGAACGAATTAGATCCCATGACTCTCCTCTCTGCGGGCGTTTCGAAAAACTATAGAAGCCGGTCATCCTCCATCTATCAAACCCCGGTATACTCACTTCAACATCCACATAATTATCAGCATAACTTATCAATCTGGCTATACTATTTGTCCTCCACAACAACGCCAATCCACCACTCAATCCAGAATTGTCCACATAAAACAGGCCATCGAATCCAAGCTTAACCCGAAGTCTCTCTGCATGATCTCGGTTAACCTTGGTTTCCATTAGAAATACAAAATCGGGTTTCTTACGGGACACCATGTCCTCAATCTCCCGAACTGTCTGTGGATTACCCAAGCCACGACAGTTCCAGCTCAATGTACTCATTGGGTCGGGCGGGTCTGCACTGCAGCACCCGCCAATTGCAAGTTTTTTTGGACATCTGTCATGGCTACATCCTCTCCCTCATTCACTCGGTTACCTCCACACCCCCCATCCATCTCCCTCCTCCGTTTCGCCATTGCATGGACAACAGCATGGTCCATACGTTCACCATCCACACCCTCACCGTCCCCCTCCCTCCTCTCTCCCCTCCCCTCCCTCACCGGCTTCTCCCCCTTCGGCTTCCCTCCCAATGGCACCAACCATGGGTCCCCTATCTCCCTCGGTCCATGCACCCCCCAGCCCTAAGATCATCACTATACGGAAATTGCTGTACGGGAATGGTCGCATTCCTGACTTTTAGGCAAAATCTATAGGAATGTCCCATCATTCCACAGAAAAAATAAAATGTATGCAATCTTTCATACCTGAAATTCACCCAACAATACGATTTGTCTCGCTTCAACATTATCATCCTGCGCTTCAAAGGTTTGTTCACCAGGATCGCCACACGTATACGGTAATAGGTTAACCAAGGCGCATCAAGAAACCGATCATCCAGTTTGATGAAAACCCCCAAAAAATTGCCAATTTGCTCTAGGATCTTATCTGACGTATACCCAAACGGCAAGTCATAGAACTGCACCCATAGCTCCACCGTGTCCAGCACTACATCCGTCGGTACCACCCCATCCGGGAGTTGCTTGCAAACAAACGTATGATTCTGGAATGCCCATGGTCCTTCCTCCAACACATACTACATATCAGTTAAGTGATAAAAGACAAACATAAACAGTTTTGGTTGCACCTCCGTCACCTGTACCCCACGCACTGGCTGCCACACGAAGCCAAAACTTGTTTCATAAATTCAACTTTCACCGTCTTCTCAGTCAGAAAACGACCGACCAGAACCCATGTCTCCTCAACCTCAGCCTGCTCTTCCCCTTCGTCCGCAACCACCGGTTCGAAAGTGTCAACTTCCTCCTCGAGGACAAGATCTGCCCATCGGGCTGTCAAACCTGCTACATTTCCTCCTACAGTTGTCGACGCCATATGATCAATTAGCGTGGACTAACAACCGCTGCTTGCGAGCACAATTCTGCCACGTGGGAATCTGTTAGCGTGGAACCACCTACTGCTTACGAACACAATTCGGCGTTGCGGATCTTCTACTGCCCGGATTAAAACTGCTGCTTGTGGACGTAACTCGGCGACGTGGCTATTCTACTGCATGCGACCTCAAAACTCAGCGGCGTGGATTAATTAATCAACTTGCGATCACAAAAGGGCGGCGTGGATAATCTAATGCTTGCAATCACAGTTCGACGATAGAATTAACGTTACCGGAATACCGTAGAAAGCTAGAAAGTGTTTGAAAACTAGGAATAAACCCTAGAAGAAGACCAAAACCCTAGACATGCTAGAGAGAAAAATTATAAAAAAGAGCTTATTTGAGTACAAAGTCAAAATTTTATGTAAACAACTTCAAATTTCTAATAGACAGTAACTAAAATACTAACTTAGTACTAAGCAGTAAGCACTAACTACTAAGTACTAACAGTCTAACATACAATCATTATTCAGACATCAAAACTCAAAAGCACTAAACTACTAAAGCAGCATTTATACAAAAATACAAAATACTGAAATACAAGTCAACCCAATGACCGAATTACAACTTAAATGCTTAAAAACTGCACAGTATTGAGTATTTCAGTGAAACACTACAAGAAAAATGCACATAGACAACGGTTAATAACCGTTGTTGTAGAGGTATAATTTCTGTTGTTGAAGCCGGTGTTGTTGTAAGTCCCGCGCATAGACAACAGTTTTTTAACCGTTGTCTTTTCTAGAAACGACAACGGTTTTTTAACCGTTGTCTATTAAGTGTTGTTGAAACCGGTGTTGTTAAAAGTCACGCATATAGACAACGGTTTTAAACCATTGTCTTTTCTAGAAACGACAACGGTTTTTTAACCGTTGTCTATTTACTGTTGTCGAAACTGGTGTTGTTAAAAGTCACGCACATAGACAACGGTTTTAAACCGTTGTCTTTTCTAGAAACGACAACAGTTTTTTAACCGTTGTCTATTTACTGTTGTTGAAACCGGTGTTGTTAAAAGTCACGCACATAGACAACGGATTTAAACCGTTGTCTTTTCTAGAAACGACAACAGTTTTTTAACCATTGCCTATTTACTGTTGTTGAAATCAGTGTTGTTAAAAATCATGAATATAGAAAACGGTTTTTAACCGTTATCTTTTATAGAAAATACAACGGTTTTTTAACCGTTGTCTATTGTGTGTTGTTAAAACCGGTGTTGTTAAAAGTCATGCACGTAGACAACGGTTTTTAACCGTTGTCTTTTCTCTAAAACACAATGGTTTTTAACCGTTGTCTTTTCTTTGAAAGACAACAGTTATAAACTGTTGTCTATTGTGTGTTGTTAAAACTGCTGTTGTTAAAAGTCACGCTCATAAACTGTTGCCTTTTGTAGAAAAGATAACAATTTTAAACTATTGTCTATTGTAAAATAGACAACGGTTTTTAACCGTTGTCTCAATGGTTTTAACCGTTTTTAACCTGCTTAAATTTTAATAATATACAAAATTAATTTATCCATTCACCATCACCAAGTGTATTTACATAATTTTGCACAAGTTAAGATTCAAAATACAAAAGAACTAATTAACAAGTCTAAATACTTTCATGACCAATTCAAATCGAATCACCATCCAAGTCATAATACTACAAAAAAAATTTCCACGAACTAAGTCTAAATGATAACAACGTTCTAGTCATCAAATCATACCTACTCTATATGACTTGATACAACATCGGCTCATTCTGAACGTACCCGATCAATAACCGTTTTGTCATAATCAACTTGTTGGAACTACATGTAAAAAGTGAGTAAATAAATTAGTACGTAGTCAACATAACATTATAAGAGATAACTAGCTTAGATGGTTGAGATTCATTTGGTACCCCCTGCACATAGCAGAATGATAAAGCCAAGCATTATATTTTAAGCAAAAGCAGTACTCCATAATAAACATGCATAACCATGCCATTGGAATTACCTTCTCCTTCACAAATCGTGGAAGAGCAATCGAAGCCAGATTGCCGACATCAGTTTCATCTGGACTTGTGTACTCAATAATCTCAGTACACAAGTTAAAAGATTTAATAGTACCAAGATTCTGTTGGTTGCTTTTTCTATTGCAAGAATCCTATAATAATGAAGGAAAAAAAAATTAAGGATAACTGAAGCAATACCACAAATGAACACTCATAGCACATACAACTCACTTTATATAGCATGTAAGGAGTCCCTGTTTCTATCTGGGACTTCAAAATTTCAAACCACAAATTTTGTGCATGTACAACTTTCTTGGCCTTGCCCTGAGTAAAAGAGAAAACTGATAAGAATCAAGTACCAAGAAGAAACTATCCAGTCTACGGTGTATTTGAACAATGCAACAGTATCTTTGTTTCATATTGCATATAGAGTTTGTTGAATTCTTCACCCTAGCAATCTGCCAATCCAGGGGACTCATTTGGACAAAACAATGACCATTGCCCATTTCTTTGTACTCTCTCCATAAATAAATCAGGTACCCAGAGAATATAGAAAAGATCCCGGGCACGATGCTCTTCCTGAAAATGGCATATCACCATGTATCATCAATTATTGAGTAACCAAAAGCTTTTACAAGGAGTCAACAGTGTTGTGCAGGATAATCATAATATAGGTCAAACCATAATATTTCATGTCCAACTAACTACTATACATGCAATTAGAACATTATGAATCCAACAATACCTTTCCATGGTTTTTTCTTAAATCCAGAAACTCAAAGATATCTGCATGCCATGGCTCAAGATAAATAGCAAAAGCACCTGTATGGAGCAAAGAGCAGCATGAGAAAATAGTAACTTTATTATCCGGGCGCTAGGCCTAAAATAGTACTTATAAAGTCCCAGGTACAGGCCCAGGCTGGCGGCCCAAATACAAAGATTACGGCCCAATGAATGGGCTATAGCTAATTATGCTAGCGCTGCTAATAGGAATCGAACCCCAAGTGACTAGGTTGAGGCCGGGTATAGACTAGAGACCACTAGACTAGGGTGCCTGTAGGCCGGGTATATTCATGGTTTTATAGGGACCGGGTCCACCATAAACCGGGCGATATAGATATAGAATAGGGTAAGAAAATATTAGCTTTATTACCTGGGTCGCTAGGCCCAAAATAGTAACAGGTATATAGGTACAGAACGGGGGTTAGAAAATAGTAACTTTATTATTCGGGACGCTAGGCCTAAAATAGTACTTATAAAGTCCCAGGTACAGGCCCAGGCTGGCGGCCCAAATATAAAGATCCAAATACAAAGATCACGGCCCAATGAATTGGCTACAGCTAATTATGCTAGCGCTACTAATAGGAATCGAACCCCAAGTGACTAGGTTGAGGTCGGGTATAGACTAGAGACCACTAGACTAGGGTGCCTGTAGGCCGGGTATATTCATGGTTTTATAGGGACCGGGTCCACCATAAACCGGACAATATAGATATAGAACAGGGTAAGAAAATATTAGCTTTATTACCCGGGTCGCTAGACCCAAAATAGCCGGGTATAGGTACAGAACGCGAGATTCATAGATTTTTATACTGTAGATTCATAAATTCTATACTGTAGATTTATAAAATCTTTGGTGAATAATTTTATATTTAAATATGAACGAAAATAGAACTATTAAATTAACTTTTGAATTGTATTATTTCTTTGTTAAATTTTTATGCACTATATTTGGACAAAAAAATTTAATTACATTTTTATATTTGTTCTATATCTTCTAAACATCTATTTTCATCTCGTAACAAAAACAATGAAGGTCCAAATTATAGGTAAAATATACGGTGTAACACTTTAATAAATAAGAGTTGGTGTGGCTTGGTGGGTTTAGCTTTATTTGTTAAGTTAGAGGTCACAGGTTTTATCCTTAAGCTATATTTTATACAATTATTGTCTTGGTTCTCAGAGACAACACAGAACCAAACTCGTTATATCTTAGATGTTGTGCTTGAGTATATAAGTGTTGGTGTGGCTTAATTTGAGTATATAAGTGTTGGTGTGGCTTGGTTAGTTTAGCTTTGTTTGTTATGTTAGATTATTTTAAAAGTCTTGAGTTCTATTCTTCTTAGAGGCATTTTTAACCTATTTTATAAAATCGTTGTCTTGGTTTTCACAGACAACACAGAAACAACCCAGTTATATACCAGATGTTGCACTTTAATATATAAAAGTTTGTGTTGCTTAGTTGGTTAAACTTTAATTGCTATATTTGAGGTCATAGGTTCAACTCTTGTTGTTAACATCTTTGTTTATATTTTATACAACTGTTGTCTTTTATAAAATAATGATGTGCAAAGACTTGTAGTGTTGTGTATTCAAATACACTTAAAGACAACATACCAAAGACAACGGTTAAATAAAACCGTTGTCTTAAACAAATAAAGAATACGCAACGGCAACGGTTATTCGTTGTTGTTGTAGTGTTGTGTATTCAAGTGCTATTAAAGACAACACATAAATGACAACGGTTAAATAAAACCGTTGTCTTTTATAGAATAATAATGCACAAAGACAACGGTTTTAAAAAACCGTTGTCTTTGTAGTGTTGTGTATTCTAGTGCGCTTAAAGACAACACACCAACGACAACAGTTAAATAAAACCGTTGTCGTTTTAAAAATAAAGAGCGCACAAAGACAACGGTTTTAAAAAACCGTTGTCTTTCTAGTGTTGTGTATTCAAGTGCGCTTAAATACAACACACCAACGACAACGGTTAAAAAAATCGTTGTCTTTTAAAAAAAAAAAAACGCACATAGACAACGGTTTTAAAAAACTGTTGTCGTTGTGGTGTTGTCTTTTCACAAAATGCACAAAGACAACACACTTATAACAACGGTTAAGTAAAAACCGTTGTCTTTGACAAAAGTGTTGCATCAAAGACAACGGTTTTGGACCAAACTGTTGTCTTTTATACAAAAAGACAACACTTTTCTTAAAAACTGTTGTCTTTCTAGTGTTGTCTATGTGCATTTTTCTTGTAGTGAAAATACAAAAGCACATCAGCACATGGCAGTTGGCACTTGCAAACTCTGCACAAATCCACAACCTAAGCCCTAATCTGCTATCTGCTAATCAATATACCAACTAATACTCTATTCCTCTTCCTGAACAAATTATAAAAGGTAAGAAAGTAAGTAAACTTGAGAATAGTAACAAAACATACAAGTTAAAACAGAAATGAGTTGACTTATTGGGACAAAGGGTGCTCAGACTTCTTTATTTATAAATCATGTTAGGATTGGGGGCAAATTGCCTGAGTTATGGATTGACCACAGTTCATGGCAACATACCAAACCCAATCCCTAAATCCCAGATTTTAGAGAACATGGTGGAAGCATCATCATTGCATAGTTAGTCTTTTACAAGCATCAGTTGTGATTTGTAAACAATTAAATGTAACAAATGTGAAACACTGAAAGTGAAAAATAATAGTTTACCTTTTTCAAATTTCTCCACTTCATCTATGTTTTCTTCAACTTTGAGTGGTTGATTGGTCAACCTTAGCCAATCTTGTGCACAAATAAGTGTCTCAACAATTTTAGGAGTAAGAGAACTCCTAAATGCATCAAGAACTCTTCCACTGGTACTAAATGTTGATTCTGATACAACTATTGAAATTGGAACATCAAGTATATCTATTGCAATTTTAGACAACACAGGGAATCTTCCAGCATTTACCATCCACCATCTCAAGAGGTCAAAGTCACCATCCTCCTCTACAATTCCCTCACTCAAATACAAATCCAACTCCGTTTTCTTGGCAGCCAATTCACCAGACCCCAATCTTTGTTTTTTTTTTTTTTTTAACTGAGATTTTAACAAAGCTTGGGGCCTCCCAACTAAAACAGGATCACTAACAGAAACAGAAGAAGCAGAATCTTGAACAAAAACAGAAGCACCAAAACAGAAACACAAGGAGCAGACTGGACAGAGAAACTTGCAACATAATCACCATACAATTCCTTAAGGCCATTCATCACATTCTCAAACAAGGGATTACCAACTACATCACCATACAATTGATTAAACTGATACAACATGTATTCAGTCTTGTCCCTAGGGTCCAATATTGATAGAAATATTTTTGTAATAAAGTTTTGATGAGCCAAATGTACTTTAGATCCCCTTAGAATTTAGGTCTTTAGTACAAGCATCATATATCAGAATGTCAAATTGAGTATGCAAAGGAAAGTCTACCTCATGAAGAACAAAATTAATTTGGAGAAATAATTTTGGTCCTACAAGTATTCATCTGGAACACAAGTACTAGACAATGGCGTTCATCCAAAGAATAACTGGATGAGCCTAATAGTGAAATGGTAGAAGTCTTTACATACAACGATCACACCCGAGATCAATTTCCCCCCAAGGATTTATTTTTTGCACAATGTCTCAAAAAGAAGCACAATCCCTCAAGTCAAACAAGCACAATGTGTTGAAGTCAAAAAATAAGCACAATGTTTCAAGAAGAAGCACAATGTCTCAAGTCAAACAAGCACAATGTGTTGAAGTCAAAAAAGAAGCACAATCACTCAAGTCAAACAAGCACAATGTGTTGAAGTCAAAGAAGCAAGAAGCGAAAAAAACACAATGTGGCCAAATCAGAAAAGCACGATGTAGCAAGTCAAAAAAGCAAGAAGTGTCAAGTCAAACAAGCAAGATCTTATTTTTAGAGCACAATGCGTCTCAAAGGAGCAAGATGTGACAAAGAAGTAAGATGATAAGAAAATAGATAAATTTGAAAGAATTTATGTTGGTACATCTCACATGTCACAAGAATCCAAATTGCCTAAAGATATGATCAGAACGGTGGAAAATTTATGAAGGCATGGATAAAAAATCTTATCCTAGAAATAAATTCTTCAGAAGAACTTATTGCAAAGAGACGTTGGAACTTCAAAATGGACAAGGAAAATAATATTTTAGAAACAACTTGAAAATCAAGTTGAAATAAAATATTATCTTGTCAGGCAAGTTGACAATCAAATCAAATTGAAGACCTACCATTGTTAACAATATCAGGCAACAAGATTCAAACTTCAAATATCAAAAATATCCCACTCCAACGGATATATTTGATCATCTATAAAAAGGCCATGAAGACTTGAAGAACAAAGAGAAGTGAATAGAGGTGAATACAAAAAAAAAAATAAATAAAAATACAAGAGAACAGACGGGTGAATAAGTGCAAGTGCTAAATATTCATTGAGATATCTAGAAGAGAGACTTAGTCTGAATAGTCTCAAATTTAGTTGGAGAGAGATACAATTACCTTTGTATTTGTAATTGTAAAAAGAATATAGTTGTGTGCAAAATGCTTTAGTAAGTGTAGCTGTGTGCAAAACACTCGTAGTTGCTAAGTATAGCTGTGTGCAAGACACTTAGTTGGCGTTTGATATAGCTGTGTGCGAAGTACTCGTAGTTGAGTGTAGCTGTGTGCGAGACACTCGGAGTTGGGTGTAGCTGTGTGCAAGACATCCGGAAGAAGTGCTTGTGTATTGCTTATTCACTATTATAACTGTGTGTGGAAAATAGTGAATTACTCCTAGAAGTGAATGGAGTAAAGTGGACTAGGAAGATTACGCCACTTCCGAACCACTATAAAATTGCCTCTCTCATTTACATACCGTACTTACATAATTCGCTTTATTTATTTATCATCCGACTAACCCGTTTACTATTCATTGTTTATCTCTATCTTTCGGGTTTAGTGTTTTTTTCACGTATGCATGTAACTCAAACTTTCCATACTTAACATTTGAATTATTCTAAGAAAGTTTGACGTGTTGCATGTGACATTCATCATACAGTCGACGTGACACGAAGTCTTTTGATAATCTTGAATATCATTATTAAATATTGAGTGCACCATCTCCTTTAAATATTCAAGATATTCATGCCATCCTTATACATGATCTGAGCTTATCCTACACGTGCATGTGATTCAATTTATTGATTGGGTATAACTCTTTACACTTATTTATTTCGCTGTGCAGTTCAAGTTCAACTCTACTCTATTTACTTGTTACTTAGAGTTGAAGTTACCAAAGAGTTATTTAATTTTAGAAAAAGCTTAAAAGTCTATTCAACCCCCCCCCCCCCCCTAGACTTTTACCACCCTATCGGGACCAACATTTGGTATCAGAGCGGTTGTCTATTTGAGTTAATTTTGACTGCTAGACAGATCTCAAAAAATCAAGATGATGAAAAGAGATATGGCTGTTGCCCAAAATTTATTATTTTCCTTAGAAAAATTTGATGATTGGAAAATTCGCATGCAGGTACATTTATCTGCATTACATGATGAAATGTGGGAAGTTATCAACAGTGGTCCTATTGAAATTTTGCAAGTCAACACTTCATCCGTACAAACAAGTGACACTTAATAATATATTCCAAAACCGAAGGTGGAATGGTCTCGTGAAGATAGAACAAGAAATAACTTGGACAATATTACCAAGGATATTTTGTTTAAATCTATCGATGACACGATATTCCCAAAAGTTCGAAAACGCCAATCCGCAAAAGAAGTTTGGGAAACGCTCATTCAAATTGGTGAAGGAGACGAACAAGAAAAAGATAATAAACTCACCATAGCATTAAAGAAATTCGAGGATTTCAAAATGCTAAACGGCGAGAATATTACCGACATGGAAACAAGATTTGCCAAAATCTTAGGAGAAATTAATGATCTTAGAAAAGACATTAATCAAAAGGAAATTTCACTCAAAATCCTACGTGGTCTACCATCTACATGGGATATGAAAGTCACGGCCATGAGAGATCATAGAGATCTAAAAACTCTATCAACCGATAAGCTTTTTAGTGATCTAAAAGCTTATGAATTTGAGATGAAGTCAAGGATCGAGGAAGATCATGAAGAAAAGAACAATGCACTCATAGCCGAGCAACCGTCAACTTCAAGGTCAGTACAAAATAATGAATTATTGCCTAATGATCAATTTGCTCTTTTTGTCAAGAAATTTAGGAAATTCATGAAGAAGAGCAACTACAAGAAAAATTCACAAGGGAAACCATGGAATGCAACGAAAAATTCGAAGAAAGAAATGGTTGAGGAAGACTCAAATTTGTGTTACAATTGTAGAAAGCCTGGACATTTTGCAGCAAGTTGTCAACACCCCAAGGTAGTAAAAGTCAATACACAAATATTTCTAACTCTCAACAGGAAGAATTCAAGACCAAAGATAAAAGGTTCACAAAGAAAAGAAGAAAAGCACTTATTAGTTACCCACTTGAGACAAGTGAGTCAGAAGAGTCTTCAAGTGAGGAAAAAGATGACAATGCAATGTTTTGCATGAGTATCTCCAACAACTCATCCTACGAGGACATGTGTCTTATGGCTAATGAAAATGAAGAAGATGAGGTAACATCTAAATCTTATGACTCTGTAAATTCTTCATTCTCTAGAGAGTCCTTCTTTCACTTAATGAAAGATTGTCAAACCGTAATGGACACTCGCTCTCAACTCAAAGAGCGCAACAATTTTTTAATTCTCGAAAAAGATGAATTAAATGAAAAATTGCAAAATGCTCTACTTGAAGTGAAAAAATTGAAGGATAAAATTATTTGTCTTCAAGAAGAGTGTAAATCAAGGGAAGTGAGAGAACACAACCTTAGAGAGGTTATAGCAACATTTACACATTCATCCAAAATAATGGACAAAACGGTAAATATGCAAAAACCCTCAAGTGATAAAACGGGACTTGGTTATGATCCTTCGTGTTCTCAAGCCTCTAAGAAATTGACGAATTTTACTACTACTTTGAGCAATAAAGTCCAAGTGGTAAAATTTGTAAAAAGTCAAGATAGCACAGTGAGACAATGAATTGGTTACCAAACCAATGCCAAATTTAATGCTGCAAGGCCGAAGACTCAAAGAAATAATATTCAATATTTCTCCTAAGCAGTATATAAAAAGGCAAAAGTTTGTTCCTAAATAGAAACACACCAATGAGTCAAGTGGACAAAGCCCTCATAGGAAAATGAGAAGAAATCCGAGAATTGGGGCAGGGAGATTTTATCCCTTTAAACAAGATTGGCTTGATAATATTAAACCATGGACTAAGTCCAGATTTAATGCCTATCATAGACTCAAACAATCTACTTCCCAAGTGCCAAAAAATCGAGTCAATTTTAAAAAACCGGCACCAAAAATGTTTTCAAAAATTAGTTATGATTATAATGTGTTTAATGGTTACCAATCACTTAAACTTATATCAGTGAGTACAAGGTGGATTTGGGTACCAAAAATGACTAACACTCAAGGACCCAAATCATGTTGGGTACCTAAAAATGTGTAATTTATTTGCAGGAAATTTGGTACTTCGATAGTGGATGTTCTAGACACAGGACTGGAAATAAATCTAGTCTTGTGAATCTCAAAAATATCGAAGGACCAAAAGTCGTATTCGGTGGAAATGAAGGCATAACCAAAGGAATTGGTACAACATCTCGCAATAGTTTAACAATTGAAGATGTATCTTTTGTTGAAGGTCTAAAATTCAACTTGTTAAGTACAAGTCAATTTTGTGACAAAGCATATCTAGTAGAATTCTTCAAAGACAAATGTCAAGTGAAGAATAATTCCTCGGGAGAAGTTGTGCTCGAAGGAATAAGGAAGAAAAATATGTATGTGGTTGATTGGAACACGACAAAAGAATCAGTATGTCTACTAGCAAACAACTCTCACTCAACAAGTTGGGAATGGCACAAAAAATTGAATCATCTAAACTTCAAGACCATCAACAAGCCAGCAAGAAACAAACTCGTTGAAGGTCTACCCGACATTGTTTACAAGAAAGATCAAATATGTGATGCTTGCCAAAGAGGAAAGCAAACAAGTCATCATTCAAAACCAAAGGTCAAGAATCTACAACAAGACCGCTAAGTCTACTACACATGGATCTATTCGGTCTAGTAGACCCAGTAAGTCTAAGTGGTAAGAAATATACACTCGTTGTTGTTGATGATTTTTCCAGGTACACATGGAGGATATTTCTCAAGAAGAAAAATGAAGTGGAGCAAAAGTTGCCAGAACTACTTAAGTTGCTACAAAACGAGAAAGACTTGAAAATTGCAAAAATCCGAACTGATCGTGGAACTAAGTTCGTGAATCAAGTAATTCAAGCCTACTGCAATTCTCAAGGAATTCTACATCAATTATCTATCGCACGTACACCACAACAAAACGGTGTAGCCGAAAGAAGAAATAAAACGCTAAAAGAAGTCGCACGTGTAATGATTACGTCAGCCGAGCTACCTAAAAGATATTGGGCTGAAGCAATCAACACCGCATGTTATACGCAAAATCAAAGATTGATACACAAGTCTTACAATAAGACCTCGTACGAGTTATGGAAAGGGAGAAAACCTAAACTCAACTATTTTCGTACTTTTGGTATCAAATGTTTTGTTCTTAATAATGGTAAAACATATCTAAAGACTTTTGATGAGCGTGCAGATGAAGGAATATTTTTAGGTTATTCATCTACCAGTAAAGCCTTCAGAATATTGAACAAAAGATCAATGGTGGTGGAAGAATCAATTCATGTTACATTTGATGAAGTCCATAAGAAGGAAACCCAGAGCAACAAAAATGATCAGGAAAGTTGTCAAGTAGAAAAATCATTTAATGATACTGACACATCTTTTAAAGATCATGTTGTGCAGGGAATAGAGCAATTGGACATTGATTGCAATAGTGAAGGACACGTGGCAGTAAATGAAGATCCACACGTGGGAACTCTAAACTCTCAAGCAGAAGTACATGCTGGAGAACAATCTGATGAGTAAAATGAGTCTACCTCCAACTTACCTACTGAACAAGGAAACGTGGAAAATCCATGCAATCCACAACCTGACTTGAGATGGCTAAAAAATCACCCTCCAGAGCTAGTAATTGGAGATCCACGAGAAGGAGTAAAAACAAGATCCTCAAATATTGATGCTTTATTTTCTTGTTTTCTTTCTCAGGTGGAACCAACAAGTTTTAAAGAAACTCTAAATGATCCGGACTGGATTAATGCTATGCAAGAAGAGCTAGATCAATTTAAAAGAAATGACGTATGGGAATTAGTTCCAAGAGTAGAAAATTACAATGTAATTGGAACAAAATGGGTCTTCCGGAACAAAGCCAATGAAGAAGGAATTGTTGTTCGAAATAAAGCAAGATTAGTGGAAAAAAGGATATTCAAAAGAAGAAGGAATAGATTTTGACGAAACATTTGCACCCGTTGCAAGACTTGAAGCCATCAGAATTTTTCTAGCTTATGTCGCGTACAAGAATTTCACTGTCTACCAAATGGACGTGAAAAGTGCATTTTTAAATGGCTTACTTGAAGAGGAAGTCTACATCGAACAACCACCCTTTTTCGAGGTAAAAGGTGATGTTAATAAGGTCTACAGATTAAAGAATGCGTTATATGGGCTAAAACAAGCACCTAGAGCTTTGTATGACACCTTATCAACGTTCTTAATTAAATGTGGTTTCACAAAAGGCCTTGTTGATAAAACCTTATTTAGAATTCAAGAAAATGATCATATTTTATTGGTACAAATTTACGTTGATGATATTATTTTTGGAAGTACTAATAAAACTTTATGTGAGAAATTTTATAAGCTCATGCAGAATAGGTTTGAGATGAGCATGATGGGAGAGTTGAACTACTTTCTTGGTCTACAAGTAAAGCAACTCAACGAAGGAATATTCATCAATCAGGCCAAATACACAAGAGATCTTATAAAGAAATTTGGTCAAGATGGAAAAGCCTCAATCAAGATCTCGATGAGCACGTCTTTAAGATTGGATAAAGATGATGAAGGCAAGGACGTTGACGAAACAAAATATCGAGGAATGATTGGATCATTACTGTATCTCACTGCAAGCCGACCAGATATATCTTATTCAGTGGGAGTATGTGCTAGGTTCCAATCAAAGCCGAAAGAAAGTCATTTTCTTGCTACCAAGAAAATCATTCGATACCTAAAAGGAACAATCAATGTGGGATTATGGTATCCCAAAGAAGGTAATTTTACACTAACTGGTTTTTCAGATGCAGATTTTGCAGGGTGTAAGATCGATTGAAAAAGTACCTCAGGGACATGGCAGTTCTTAGGGGGAAGATTAGTATCTTGGTTCAGCAAAAAGCAAAACTCCATAGCTACAAGCACCGCCGAAGCTGAATATATAGCAGCTGGGAGTTGTTGTGCACAAATTCTTTGGATGAAGCAGCAATTAAAAGATTATGGTGTAAATTGCGAAGATGTTAGCATATTTTGTGATAATACAAGTGCTATCGCAATCACTCAAAATCCCGTGCTATATTCAAGAACTAAGCATATTGACGTGAGACATCATTTTATCCATGATCACATCGAAAAGAAGAATCTGAGAATAGAATATATTCCAACAGAAAATCAAACAGCTGATATTCTCACAAAGCCCTTGTGCGAATCAAGGTTTGCAAAATTGGTACACGAAATGGGCATGATCGAACTGAGCTAAGTCACTAAATCTCATTTAACTATAAGCTCATTTTTTTTATTAAATGTTCTTATATATTTTTTTTTCAGTCACATTTTTAATTGCCTATGTGTCCAACGTGCACCAAAATGTCACTTCCTAGTATCTAGGATAATTTGTCTTAATTTTTTATTTTTTATTTTGCATAAATACCTTTCTCTTTAACCGTGTATATATATAAATTTACAAGATTTTCTTACATGCAATATCTACCTTATTTATGTGTGACAAGATAGTTGTGATGATTGCCTATTAGCTTAAATAAGAGTATCTAGTTATGGTAGTTGAAAGCATTTACAGCATCACATTTATTTAGTTGTCTACTTATTTATTTATTTATTTATTTTTCGGCCACTATCACTTTTATTATTATTATTATTATTATTATTATTATTATTATTATTATTATTATTATTATTATTATTATTATTATTATTATTATTATTATTATTATTATTATTATTATTATTATTGTTATTGGAATAGACTTAGTACTATTATTTTTATGTCGCAGGTCAAAAATGATTTTATACTTCTAAATTTTACGACACAAAGCAGACAAACCAAATGGAGAATATAAAACCTAGACTGACAATTAGTTATGAAAACGAGTGGAATTCCAAAAATACCCCTCAATATTTAGGAGTCATAGAACAAAGTTAAAGGACCTCTTCGTAAAACACCCCTTCCACTCAAACCGGTCAAAAGGTCAAAAGTCATCATCTTCTCCACTTTGCAACCCTTCCAAACACCTTCGAAACTCTTCATCTTCCATAGCCGAACACTCTCAAAATTCTTGCATCTCCCAATCTCCATCAACTCTCGACTACACAATGGAAACAATCGGACAATCAAGTTCACAAGTCCATGAAGAACAACTCGTGCAGATTAATCTCACCAAGTTGGCCACCAACGCCAAAGCCAAAGGAAGCTTCGACCCTACTGGATTTCTCAAAAATGCCAAAAATTCGGAGCTTGCCCAAAGGATCATCCATGCAATACAAAACAGTGGTCTAATGAGGTTATGTTCCTATTCCTACTCTGGATATTATTGTGAGGATGTAGCCGACTTCTATGTCAATGCCAAGGCGAACGGTTGGAACATTGAGTCCAATGTTAATGGAACTCCCATCTCCATTGGAGAAAATGAGTTATTTCAACCTTTGGATTGCCTATGTCTACACCGGAACAACCCTTACTAGATTTAGACATGCATGTATATGACCGAACTGAGGTCTGGACAGAGATTAGGAATGAAAAATCATCTGTTGAACCTAATCTTTCTGGAAACAAAACTGATTTGAAGCCGGAATATCAAATGTTGATCAATGTGATATACAAGTGTATTCTGTGTAAAATAAATAGTATGCAGGATATATCTCCAAAAAGAATTGGTTTTTTGCATGCTATTATGACTGGTGTTAAGGCAAATTGGAGTAAGTTGGTGTTGAGCGGAATATGTCACTTTGTTAAGGGAGCAAAAATCAAGAACGGGAGGTTTAGCCATGTGTTAGGTTTTGGCTTATTAATCGGTGAAATCCTAAAACACAAAGAATTGATCATGAGAGCAAGGAAACCTTTTGGAAACAATAGGATTCTTCACAAAGATTTCGAGGTGATAGATGAGTCTAACAAAAGAAAAAGAAAACCCCGAGCACTACCCGCCAGAAAAAGATTAGTGCAAACATCATCAATGAAAATCCTCTACCCGAAACCCAAGCTAATGATCCTCCAAGCCACACTCATACATCCAGCCACAATCCCAATCCAAGCAACACTCATACATCTAGCCACAATGACCAAAACCTAAGCCAGACTCACACCACAAGTCTCAATCAAAACTCCAACCAAAATAATATTCCAAATAACCCAACCTCTCGGGTAGAAACCATGGAGGAAGTTCAAAGTGGGATTATATGTCAATTTGATGGGTTAGACTCAGTTTTGGTGAGTGAATACCAAAGAATATTGACTTGGAGAAATTGGAGACTTGGTACATACCAAGAGTTGATGTCACGTGGACCTAGTATAGAGAATGAAGAAATATTTGCTTTAAATTGGATTGGTTGCCATATTGTTTCTCAAGCCACAAGAATTTCAGTTATTTAATGCTACTTTTCTAGCCAAATTGAAAGCAAAAATGGTCAAGAATGTGCAAGTACATGAAGCTCAAGAACGACTGCCAACTGGGAATGATTTCATAGATGATGATGAAATTGATCGAGTGATTGAGATGTCTCGACATATCACAGATCAGGAACTGGCAAGTGGCTCTCAAACTGAATTCTTTGGTCAGTTCACTGGTCAAGGAAATGATATTGTGAGTCCAAATTATCTTGATATTGATCTATATGATGTGAGTATTTTGAATCAGACTGAGGTGAGCCATGCACAAATCGAAAATCCAGCCATGC